CTCGAGGTCCATCCATGTTGTTGCAAATGGCAGTATTTCATCTCTTCTTATGTCTGAGTAATATTCCATTGTATATATGTACCACAGCTTCTTTAGCCAATCATCTCTTGTAGGACACTTCAGTTACTTCCATGTCCTGGCCACCGTGAATTTTAAAATTTATTTTGCTTAGTAATATAATGCAGCTGCCTCAAACAGTACCTGCCATACACTTTACCCTCAGCGATCACGTGCTGCACTGAGAAACTGTTTCTGTCTTACACAGTTTCATCTAATTGGCCTGTAGCACACACCTGGCTGGACTGAGATGCTTTCACACTCATAAATCCACAAAGTCCCCAGACATATACCTGGAGATGCTCCCTATTGATATGGGTCTATAAGCATCTATTGACAACTATTACATATTTACCTTTGTATACATAGATGCACACACAAAGGCCACATGTGCACATACACATGTATGGAGAAACCATATTTAAAAAATTTATTTTTATTAAGATCTTGATGGACCTTTTTGTTTTTACAAAACCTATAGAAGAGTTGAAAGAATTGTACAGTGAACAGCTACCACCTTATATACTTATTCCATTATATAGCTTTATCATACATCTAACATATCCCTCGAGCCATTGATATATCCTATATGTATGTACAAACTTAATTGCAGCCATCAGTACTCTTCACCCTCAAATTCTTCAGCATTAACAAGTTCAATATTTGTTTACTTTTCATGTAAATTTTGTGAAGAGAAATGCACAAATATTAAATTTATATTTGTTGAGTTTTGACAAATGAGTTTTTGACCGGTGTAACTCAAAGCTCTGTCAAAACAGAACATCATTGTCACCTTCAAAATTTCCATCATGCCCCTTCCTAGTCAATTCCTTAGCAGAGACGATCTCTGCTCTGATTTCTTTTACTATAGATTAGTTTTACCTGTTTTAGAATTTCATGTACACAGAATAATTTGATATGTACTCACATTTGTTTATTATTTCAATAAAAAATATATTCGGCACCTACTATATGCTCATAAACTACATCTGATGTCTGTTCATAGAAAGTAGTGTGTTCTCCTGGAAAGGCCAAAGGTATTTCTAGGCATGGCTGGTGATCTCTCACCTCCCCTGCAATCACTGTCAGTTGAAAGACCATAGACAGCTGGGCCTCAGAAACAGAAATGCGAGCCCTGTGTGTCGTGTGTGCCCTGGGCTCCTTCATGCCCTCCTCTCCCCGCATTAACATCGGCCCTGAAGGCCTTTCAGAAGCCCTAACCCCATGCCTATTGACTTCCCACACCAAAGCTTCATCCACACTTCTCTTTGTTGGTGTGCAAGGAGGTGTCACAATATTAGTCCAGGCCATATCCAAATGGATAAAAGTACAAGTGGGTAGATAGCTGAAAGTAATTGGAGAAGCAGAGGTGGCATGTAATCTTGTGATCCTGTGGAGAGGTGGGGATAGGAGTGTGAAGACTAGGCATGGGTTGGAGAAGAGAGGAAACATTGCAGGCCCCTGGATCAGTTGCAGCTGGGCAGCTGAATAGCACTTACCTGGAGCAACTGGGAATCTGGGCATAATGTACTTTCTCTCCAAGAAGGACAGTACGACTGCCCTAGAGATCTTTGCTGTTTTCCACTGGATGTTCTGCTTCTTCTTTCTCCGTGAGTTTTTAGCCTTTGGTAAGGTGACCAATTGTCCGAGTTTGCCTGGGACTGAGGGGTTTTAGGGTTTAGCAGGATTTTTGATTCTAAAACCTGGGTTGTTTCCAGCAAATCAAAATGGTTGGTCACCCTGGCCTCTAGTCTGACATACCTGGGCATGGTACTCATGGGATCCGTGAATGTACATGTGGGTATGTATGTGTGCATATGGATGTGTGCCTATGTAGGGGTGCGTGTGCATGTGTATGTGAGACTTGTTGCAGATGTGTATGGTGAATCCTCCTGGGTCTACACTCGGTCATGTAGGGCATGTTTTGGGAAAATGAGGAGCAGTTCCACTGATGCAAGCCAAGAAAAAGGGCTTAGCTGCAATGTTAGGGACTTGACAGAGCATTGGTGGGAGACAGTTGTCCTGGTGACAGACAGAGGCTCTGCAAATGTCTGGTCTGGAAGAAATCATCCATCTATCTATCCACTTTTTGTATTGTTTCTATCACAAACACTGTGTGAAAGTTAGTTATATGCTCACCACTGTGTTTTAGATGCTGAAGGAAAGCACCCGTATGTGAGGGGGGGTCTGGAAAAAAATTCTAATTTGTCAGGTGGTTTAGGTAAGTACTGGCTGGAGGCAGGGACATGAACTGAATGACTTTGTAAGATATCTGGGAAGGAAGAATACCTGGAGGTTACCTTTGAATAGGGAGAATGGGCTAGAGGACAGGGAATGGGGGCTGAGAGGCCTGCCTGGGGTGGGCACCAGGACCCCCAGGCAATCAGAGCTGGAAGAGACCAGGAGAAAGAAATTCATATGCATTAGGTCCTTTGTACCAGGTATTTTCAAAACTATTATTTTATTTTAGCCTCATACCGACCTTATGAGGTAGAAACTATTATTATGTATAATAATACATACTAATAACTACACACTCATGATGATAGCTACAATTCACATAATATTAGCTAACACTTATTGCATCTTTTTTTCATGCTAGGAACTGTTCTAAGCATCTTTTGTGCCCGATAAGCTTCATTGTACAGATGAGAAAGCCGAGGTTTATGTAGTATAAGTGGTCTGGCCAAGATTACACAGATAGTAAGTGGAGAAGTGGACATGGGGGTTGAGCCCACAAGGGCATGATTCCAGCCTATGGTTCCTTTCTTTGCCTCTTGCATCTCTTCACTTACTGCTGATTAAGAGGTTGGGTATGGACATGTCCCTGGAGTACATGCTAGGCCAGAGAGGAAGGAGGAAACTAGGCCTTCTGCATATGTAAAAATTCCTGACTGAAAGGTAAAAACAGGCAAGCTCAGAATGGCCTCTTACTGAGGACAAGGGCTCCAGCTGGGCTTCTGCACTCTCCTTCCATGTGGCACAGACCTTGGGGGCACGCTCTTCAATAAGAGCTGAGGTCCCTGTCTGGTTGGAGTGACAACAATCCTAACTCTCATCGCTCCAGCTACTGGGGCTCAAAAAATTCCAAGGTGAGTCTGCAAGAACTGGTCTTTTCAGAGGAGGATTGCTCTAGCATCTGCTTTTTCCAGTGAACAGTGACTTTGGCATTTGGTGCTACTCTTCTCAGAAAGAGCAACTTCGCTGTCTGGGCTGGGGCTTCTTCCACTCTGTTAACAAGGCCATTATCTTCTTTGGCCTTGGCTCCAGTTTTCTCAGAAAGCAGAGTCAGCATCCTTATGGCACCTGCAACCAGTTCCTGCCTGTTGACCCTGCTCTGACTCAGAAACTTTAGGACATTGGGTTCTGTTCTGTTTTTGAGTTCTTGTCCTATTCTCACAAACTTAGCTCACTACCACCCTCCCCGCTCCCCTTACTGCCACTGTGTTCTCAGAAGAGAGGAGAGTCCCCAAGGCCTAGGACCTGACACTGCATTGGTGGATGCATAATCATTTATTGAAGGTCACCCTGGGCCAGGTTACATGTAGGGAGGGGGTTGGGGCCTCTAGGCTAATATCTGTCCTTTCGCAATCCAGTTCCTAATCTCTCTCCTCAGAGGTAACCACTGATAATGTTTTCTTTGTGTGTGTGTATGTACGTGTATATAGCCAAAATTTATAGATACACACACACACACACACACACACAACCACACACAACCACACCTATAGCTAAGGGACAGTAAAATATAGGTGTTAAAAGCACAGGCTCTGGAGCCAGACTGCCTACATTCAAATCCCAGCTCTAGTATTTACTATCTGTGCACCTTTAGTAAGTTAAGTATGGTCTTTGAGTCTTGTTTTCTTCATTTGTGAAATGGGTATATTCGAGTGTATTAATTGGGATGGCCTAGGTAGGCCATGGTAACAAATTAACCCTGAAATCTCTGTAGCTTAACCAAACAAATGTTTATTTACTGGTCATGTTAAATGTTCAACATAGGTTGGTGGAAGTCTATGTTGTCTGTGGACACAAATGTTCAGGCTAATAGAGGCCCCACCAAATTGTGATGTTGTGAAATGTGGTTTGAGAGATTACCACAGCAGGGCAAGGAAAAAGAGTGAAGAATTCATGCACACTACTTACTTCCTCCAACCAAAAGTGATAGGTAAATAGTAAGTTGTAGCCTTATTTCTTACTTGCTTAACTGTGACTTAGGTCGAGCATCTTTTCATATATTTATTAGCAATTAGTATTTCCTTTTCTATTAGCTGCCAATTCATAACTTTTGCCTGTTTTTCTATTGACTTTGAGTTGGTTCTTGAAGGACAAATATGAAATAGGTGAAGAAGGAAGAGTGTTGTGGGCAGAGGGAGCAACATAGGGTGAGGAGAGAGCATAAAGCATTTGAGGAGCTGCCAGTGGATAAATGGGATGAGGGGGTGAGAGGCACATAATTGACACTCAATAGATAGATATTGAATGAGTAAATGAATGGATGAATGAATGGGAGAGAGAAGAAACAGGAGACTGGAGAAGCAGGCAGGGGACAGATTGTGCAGGACATT